ATGTGAATAAAATTGCTGTGTACTTATTTTGAACTCAAACTCTAGGCGAGCCTAAAATGAATTCTATCGTGTTCCCGAAGAGAAAGCCGGGTAAAACATGGTGAAATTAGTGTCGCACTGCCTCGAGAAAAAACTCTTTCGGCAGACAGTTTGTTCAATCTAAAATTTATAATTTTTCGTGATCTTCCTCTAGCATCTTAGCTAATTAGGTATATAAACCCTTTCATAATCAAGAATGAGAATTAGTTTATATACTTATAAAATCAATTTCGATATTCTTGTTGTCTATTTTTGATTTCGCATTCCTTTTGCATTTTACTGATTTTTGCAGACATATTTCACTCAAAACTTATTTCGGCTTTCCTCGCAAATTTCTAACATTAACCAGACTAAACAAAAATAAAAGCAAGATTGAAGAGAAGAAGAAAATGGGAGATGACATCAGTGAGAAACGAAACCATAGTTCTCCTTTATTTAGAAAGATTTTTCATACGAATTAAAGATTAATAGTCAAAAATAAACAGTTTTGCCAGAAGTTTGAAAAGATATTTAAACTTAGCATGACATGGAATGAATGCTTATCGTCTCCTCTACACTTTTTGACGAACTTGTTTATGATTCTTATTCTCTTTTGATCTTTATACTTTTAAAGAACTGTAGCAATCAAATTATTGACTTTATTGCATGATGTTTTACCAAACAGTGCGGACAGGATCATCGCAGATGTGACCTTTGGCTTTTTTCTAGAGATTTCCTTAACTATCAACATATTTCAACTTTGAGTCTCTGTGATAAAAATTATTGTGAATACTGCTGTATTAAAAAGATATATTCCATCGGATGCCTTCTTAGACATGTCTTCATACAGTTTGAGGTTAAAACTCTCTTGTATGGTCATTGTACGGTGGATCAAACAACTTTTCGATAATTTCGATAAGTAGTTCTTGAATGATCCTATTGCTGATTCATAGAAAATAAAAGGAAAAGTAATGTCATGTTTTATAATTGAAAACACGTTCAACTTGGTTTTATATTTTTTACTCAAAACAGTGAGAAAAAAGCTGTTTCATTGCATTCGATATGAGAATGCGCTACTCTTCGTTTCAGAATGAGGAACGCGTTCTTTTTCATTTGTTTTCTCTAATGGAAAGCAATACGTATAGAAAAGAACGGCGTGGAACGCGTTTTAAAAAAAAAAGCGTTTTGATCTTAGGTTGCGTTCGTATGCGCCAAGGCAAGATGAAACAATGGCAGTGGGATGTCAAATTAGATCTGCTCTCTTTCACTTCTGTTGATAAGTGTCCTAAAATTTGAAATATTTAACATCGATTTTTGTAAAAACGAGCGCTGCTTCTTTCGACATACCCTCCCCCCTCCATAATAGAAGCCTCCGAGGCTTCTAAACTGTCCAAGCGTTCAAAATTTTTAGGGGGGACTTGTATTATGGGGGGGGGGCTACCATTACGACTTTCGTACAAAAATTTCCAGAAAAGGAAATTTTGAATTTCGATGCTCTTACCTTTCTAATCACGGTAATCTCAATTAATCTGAAAAAAATCTTTTTCGAGATAAAAAATGTAAATTTTATTCTTTTCCTTTTTTTACGCACGACATCACACAAGAACAATTAAAGTAAAAAAAACGCGTGTCGATCAAATGTGTCGTTTAAAAAATTCGCAGTCAATTTATTAAAAGACTTTTAGTTAATTTATTTTACCTTATTCAAGTTATTCAATAAATGAAACATGGTTAGTTTACGCGATTTCCAAGATAGCTAAACATTTTTTCGAAAAAGAGCGCAAAAAAAATTCACAGATTGTGTCGAAAGAATCGAACTTGGTGTAAATAATAACGGCAACTACTCTCAACATTTCATTAAATAAAATTAAGAATACCTCCTTATTTTTATACTTTTATTTAATGTTACAGTAACTTTTGCCAGATCTATCTAACTATTTACTTGTTTTGTACGTCAACATTTTTTGTCGTTTTAGTATAAAAAGTACAAAACGTTTGTTCCTGAAAAGACAGGTGCTCGATACCTATCTTTTGATATAAACAGATCAAAATTGCTAAATTGTGTACCGTCAGATATTGAATAAACTCTCGAACGTCATTGTTAGTTTTGAGACGCGTTTTATTGAAAATAATAACAAAATCAGTATTATTTCACTATTTGGTTTATATTCTGCAGACATAAAATGTTCTATCAGATATTGTAAAAAACGATATAAATGCTCAAAAATGTTCTACAATACACAATATTACGCATCTTTCTGTTTCCAATATGAACTAGTCTGAACAAGTTCTCTGAAAAATAAGGTCGAAGCAAAGGAAACCGCTTGAAGAGTTTAGCCTACTCAGGTATTCAATATTGTTGGATGGAACGCTCGAATCCACCTCTGGCCACCTATTCTTCTAATTTTTTTTGTTTCGTTAACTAGTCTAGACAATATGAATAGATAAAACGAAATAGTCATAAGAAGATGTAGGCAAGTTTTAGACTAGTCTATCTTTAGTTGCATGACATTCCAAGTCAAGATGAACAGCCTTGATGATTTGCAAGTCATTTAAGGCTAGATCAGACAATAGTGCGAACACTTGAGACTAGTCGTGTGCCTCCACTATTTTTTGCTCGGCCAAGAAGCGGCATAACTTTAATATAAAATAAATGCATGATATTCATTTTCTTAACGGTAATATAACAAATCATGTTTATTTATAATCTAAGAAGGTTTCAATAGAAGACATTCGATAAAATGATTTTTATTCTATTATCTAGTTTATGTTCTAAATGCATCTGATTATTCATCGATAATTTTTAACAAATGATACAGATATCGAAAAAGTTTTCTACTTACATTCTATTTCATTTACTTCCTATTATTGATCAGTTTAAAAGATATAGTAGGACAATTTAGTCCAAAGAAAATGGCTCACTTAGGGTTTCTCAGACTAGTCTGGACTAGAATAGGCGATACTCTATTTAAAAAGGGCTAATAATGACACATCTAGATAACGCTTCGGACCAGTTCTGACTACTATCAAAGACGTATAAGACTATTCAAAGTCGTTTGACATCAACTAGCTTTGCCTGTTCAGTGGACAGACGAGAGTCAATCTGTGACTGAAATTGTATGAATTGACGTCAGTCTGTTTCAATGTCCTAGTCTACCGTCAGGACACTCGTCAGGGTGTGAATATTGTCGGATTGAATGTTTAAATCCACTTTTCTTCTTTTTTGTTTTTAGTCGTACGACTAGTCTGATGGGGTCGATGGACAACATGAACTAGACATGACTGGGTTCAAGAACATTCTGGACTAATCCAGATGTGTTTCACGGACATTTCTTTAAGAGGTCACTAATGGATGTGCGAAACATCCATACTATGCTTGATAAGTGTTGCGGACATTTCGGACTAATGGTGTCGGCCGTCTTCCTTTGATTTTTACTAATTTGGTTCTAACGTAATGAAATGTCTCGACAATATTTGAAAAAATATTAGGGAAAGAACAAATCAACTAAGGATAACGAGATTGATATAGCTAATGTAGCATCATTTTAGTTTTCTACTACCAATCCGAAGAAGATACGAATATATCTAAGCATTTTTTCCTCCTAGAATGCAAACGATAAATTCTAAAAATCAAAATAAATGGTATGGATAGAAAGCTAACTGTTATGAATCTCTAAAGTACGATTGTATCTGTTGTATATATGATTATTAGGTCTTTCGACAAAATAAAAAGATTTTCTCATTCTAAAATGACTCAAGATGAAGAGGAGAAAGCAAAAACTCTGTATTTTAATGTACTTCATTGTAGTTCAAAATTTGAGTATCTATAAAGTACAATGAAGTATTTGAACTTTATTGTCGGATAGACTTGCATAGACTGGACTACGGTTAACGTGCCAGAGCACAAGTTGATGGTAGATTTGAAAAAGCTAAAAAGTTCTCAAGGATAGCTTTGATATAGTCTTGAACTGCAGTTAGGTACAGTGAAGTATGCTAAAGTACAGAGTTTCTGCTTTTTTCCCCCTTGTTCTGGATTTTTATTTTTTATTGTTTCGTTTCTGATAATTATTCTTAATCAATAATATGCTACGAAAATTTTTTTCAAGTGGAACTTTTTCAGCTATTATATATGGTAGTTTTTATCAGATTTGCCAAATTGCGCAGGAGAAATACATAAAAGCTGATCCACGTAAACCACAATCGACTCTTCCAGAAACTGCTCATTCAAGATGCTTATATATAAAAATGTGAGTGTAAAACTGTTTAACCAGTATTTCGGATTGAATGTAATCTCAGTTGTTGACTGTAAAAACAAGAATAACACTAAATATTTTATAGTTTAAGAGGTTTGAACAAAACTATATTAGATTCTAGTTCGAAGGAGACTTGCTTTTTAAAAGATGATCTATTATCAGAATGATATATATTAATCGGTCACAATTTTCAATTCTATTATTGAAGAACTAAATTTACTTTGTTTTAATTAGAATTAAAGATCAACGTTGGAAACCAATGAATTTGAAAGTGCCTATTGAAATATATTGTCCTTTCATTTATCAATTGTTCGATGATCAAAATAACAATTTCTCAGATGATATAAGTTAATATGTAATTTAAGAATTCATATTAATTTCTTTGTGTATAAAACAAATAATTAACTAATCATTGAGTTTAGTATAACTTTACTGGACAAAATTATACTCTTATTTCATCTAAAAATCGTATTGAATTCGGTTGCAAGTAAAAAGTTCTGTTTGTTAAAGACGTTACTGGAGATAAATCATTAGAAAAATGAAGATTTTCGTTAACAAGAAGGATACTATATTTTCTTTCTTGTTCATAGATGATACATAGTTATTTTGTCGAAATTATATGGGAACATCTATTCATTACTCTTTATTAAATTAACAGTTATGAGCCAGTAAAGTAAACTTTTTCCGATGTTCGACTATGAAGGTTTTCGAAGCAATTTGTCTGATATTTTAAAATGGACCTTCATATCGAATATCAAATTTATGTTGCGTGTCAGTAAGTTTGATGAGCACTAGCTGTCCTATTTTAAATGATGGATTCGAACGATTTTTATCATAACGTAGTTTGTAAATTTTCTGGTGTTGGACTACATTCGATTTTACTTGATCTGTCAAATTTGCCAAATATTTGTATAATTTTTGTAAACGCTCTGGACCTTGTGCAAGTGATATGTTTGGGTCTTGATGGTCGAAATAGTCTACGGGTGATCTTTCAAACATAAGTTCGAATGACATTTGTCCTGCGATTGAGTGGATACTGGCATTATAATCAAACGTAACGAATGGCAAATGTTCATTCCAATCATTTTTTCGATCATTAGACAATGCCGCTATTTTTACATCCATAGTTGAGTTGTATCGTTCAGTTTGTTCGTTACTTTGTGGGTGATATGATATGCGCAGTGGATGGTTTTTTCAATAATTCGGTCATGATCTTGGCAACGAAATGTGTACCATTATCCGTCAATATACATTTAGATGTTCCATATTTTGCTTTCACATCTTTTTTTTAAGAATTTGGTGGCTGTTTGTGCAGAACAATCTTTAGCGGCCTTTGTAATCACAAAGGACATGATCGGTTTCCACTAATTCCGGGTAAGCAACCAATCTAGAATTCGGTCAAATCCGAGATTTGCCCGGTCAAAACTGGAATTCCAGTTTTGCCGTAACATATACTCAACATATCTTGCTTTTACAATTATTTTTTCACGGTTACTGATTTATGAAAAACTAAAGTCTGTCTATAAACCTGAGTCTTTTGAGTTCTTCCCTCATATGCATATAAATAATTACCTGAAACAGCTGAATTTTTATATAAATTACAATAATAAGTTGACCCGATATAATTCCTGTTGAGTCCAGCCTTGACAAAGAAATCTCAAAATAATTGAGAAAAAGGAACTACGTAGGCAGGAATTGAACCTGAGATCGAGTAACCTCACGTTCAATCCCTATCTACGTGGGTCTTTTTTTCCTTTCTACTTTTTTTCCTTCTTCCTTTTCATCCTTTTTTTCGTTTTGTCTTTATAACCACTAGGCCACTTGTCATTATGAAAAGTGTTTTGTTTCCATTTATAATCGTTAAAATATGTGTTACAGAAAATATTCGAATTTGAAAAAAAACTAAAATTTAATTTTTCGATGAATCAAAAACTTTGAAACTTGAATTTCACTATTAATCAACAATTTTTTTCAGGATTATTTTCTTCTTTTAAAAATACTCGTGCTCATACTCGACGCCCAGTACTCGTACTCGAGAATCTGCGTACTCACCCATCTCTGCCGAACGAATTTTGTTAAATCTCAGTACTTAAGGGTTTTGAGTGATGCTCTTTTCGATGGCTAACTGGAAATAATTTTAAAAATATCGGAAGCAGGATTTTCAGAAAACCACGGTTTTTCACATATCCATTTAAAGAAAATAATTTTTTTGAAAGAAACACTTGTCTGCAAAAAAAATTTCAAATTAGCGGTTTTATTCACAGCTGAGTGGGCTATAATTTACAAAAAGTTGGACTCTCCAGCTCATAATCTGAATTTTTGTTTAAATTTAAAGTTTGAAACTTCAATTATTTTTAAACTGCACTCTCTGCGTTCACAGGCTAGCAAGAACATTTTCAACGATATGGTTGGATAGAGCTCGAAAAGTTGAACATAGCTGGACAGTTGGTGCGTTCTAGGCCTTGCATAAAAATGATTTTCTAAAGGTTTTTCAAAAGCGTATATACTAAAATTTATATTTTAGTTCTTTTTCAGCACTTTAAAAGCATGTGAGGGAATTTTAAGATATGGTGATCGATAGAGTTTTAAGAGCTGAACAAAACCCAATGGCTTTTGAATGTCTAAAAGACGATTTTGAAACAGGTTTTAAAGTGTTTTCGAGAAAAACTCAGACAAATTTTAGCTTCTTTTCCACTATTATCGATACTTCCGATATTTTGTCTAGTTTTTATCGCATGTGAAGCATGGAAACGATTTTACCTTGGTCATCAAAGATTTTCTATGATATTTTCATAGATTTTTGACGTTTTACTACAATATAGCAGTTTTCTTCCGCTCTATAATATACTATTCATAGTTATACACACTTTTTCTTCTTATCAGAGAGTCTGGCAGTATCAAGATAAATCAATTTGTTCTTCTGTTCACCTGACATGTGGTATTGCTTCCATTTGAATTTGATTCTAACTTTTTATACAGCATGCAGTCTTTTTCGTAGTCACGAAAGTTTTTCATTTTCCACATATCCATTATCAAACTTTGTGGCTTGCTAGTAAGACCATGGTCGTCTATTTGGCTTTTATGTCACATGAGTCGACAGTGGTCTTTTGAAGAGATGGTATTCTACTATGGAAGAGGGTGCTAATAAACTACAGTCAGAACAAGCACGTCCATGTATAACAACACATTCTAGAAAACACATTATATTTTGATGATTCTGTGATTCGTTTACTGTATCGCACAAATGGCATTGGCTCACGCCTCTTTTTTCATAATAGAAGATAGCAGCAGAAAAGTAATAGTACCTTTATCTCGTTATAACAACAAAAAAGAAATACAAATATATGCCTCACATCTACACGGACAGCATAAACTAGCATAAGCACTTCTGGACTTCAGTAAACTACCCAGGTCGTTGATTCCAGCATCAAGATCCTAACGGAACTAATACTAGAACATGCTGGAAGTTGTTGGAATTGGTAAAATCTGGCAGCAACCATGCCGGAAATTCGTTGCTCGGAATCCATGTCGGAAGATGTCGGAAAAGATCCGACCGGATCCTTCGAGTTTCAGACATCGGATTTCGCTCGATTTGGCAGAATGTGATCAGTTTTTAGGTGTTTTAAGGCTAAAAATAGCCTTAAATTTTTTCTTTCATTTTCTAGTGATTCTCCTCTCTGTTCATTCGAGAGAGTGGAATGACCCACCAGCTAGGACGAGTACAACACATCTGCTGAACAGTATGAGCGATGACTCACACCGTTAAGAATTTGAGAAGAACAACTTCTCATTTTTCATTTTCTGTAGTGGATCGTATTTAAAGTGCTCCTGTCGTGAAATAAAACGGTGAATTTATCAAGCGCACAGAAAAGAAAGAAAAAAAAATAAAGTGCACATCACAGGATCCGTCAATTTCCGATCAACGGAAATTAGCGGATCTGACTTGTTCCGAATATCGGATCCAATCTGCGGATCCTCCGGGAGCCAAATATCGAAATGCGGACAAATTAAGCAGATTCCGATCTCCAGATCCGATCGGACGCTTGATCTCCGAAAATCACCCAAATTAAAAGGATCCGAGCGGGCGATAACGCTTTTGTACAACAACCTGGCAGTTTTGCAAGCTTTTTATGACATCCTCTGCAACTTTCGCAACATTGTTTTTGTACGCATTAAATATGATTTTGGATTTTTTTAATATTTTAATGAATCTCACAACCAGAAAATATTCGTTTCATGTCCTTCTCGTGCCGAAAAAATGGAATCTTTTTTCTTTGACACATGCCTATTTAATACACTTCACTATTTCTTGACAGTCATTCAATGACTGTGTAACTTTTTTCTTTCTTGTACTACACACAGTTACAGATTAACGTGAATGAAGTGTTTCTCAGATACCTGAGTATTTTAATTGAAAAATAAAATGCTATTTTCATTCTTTCTTTGTACAATGACATAAAAACTTTCCTTTTTTACAACAATTTCTATATCGGAAAAAGAAGTAAGATTACGTAAAAGGCTGGAATTTCTACTCTACAACAAGAAAACTTAATTTAAGTTTTGTTGCTGTGATTTCGCTTAGACATTCCTTACTGTTGCAAATACAGTATTAGTCAAAGTTTCTCGAAAACAGGATGGATTCGATCTAGCTTGATGAGTATTCGCAGAGCTATCACTAATCTATTTTTTAGGCAAAAACAAATTGATGGTAATATGGTCTTTTTCCTCTTATTAATATAATAAAGAACAGAATGGAAAAACCGCCTAAATATGCAGCACTATATATTCAAATATAACCATATTATTGTAATGTAATGCTACCACGTCATTGTATGAATAAAAATCACTATTATTATTGTCAATAAGCGCAATGTCAAAGATCACAGAATATGGTTTATCATCGAATTTTTGTATGAATAAAGATCACACTGCGGCTGCTGTTCTTGCTACTTCCAGGGAATTATCTGATTATACAAAATCATTAAATGATTGGTGTTTTATCTATTCATGTTCAAAAACTTCTTCTGGTAATGAAACTTCACTAAACTCCGTAGTAAAACAGCATTTCTCGAGAATTCTACAATTAATAATTAGCCGTGAAATGCCAAATGAAGGTACGTGCGTTTCTGAAAGTACTGATTTTTTTTTCTAGTCTTAAAGTTAAAGAGGACTCTGAGAAAACCGAAAAAAGGTTGTTATCGACATGTACTGGATATTTAAAGTTTTTAAGATTTCATGTACTTGTCAGTTGCCTATTTTGTTTTTCAAACAAATTGCAGTGTGGGTCGTAGAAAAATTTTAAATTTTATACCTTTAGCCACTGAGATAAGGTTTATAAATTTTCCCCTAAAAAAGAACTAGAGCACTGCTCAAAAATGAACATCCTGTGTCAGTATCTCAAGGAGACAGGTAACAATTTTCGTTCGCTCTTTTCGCAACATATATCATCAGAAAAAGTTTATAAACCGAAGAAAAGGATCTGTTTGTTAATCTTTTGTCACGTCCGAGTTTTGAAAAAAACAAAAAAACGTTTATCCCGTTTTCACTCACATGATTTTACTATCTAATAGAGTAAACATTTTTTATAAATGTAGGCTGCGAAAAGAACTAATCAGGAAGCCTTAGGTCAAAATATTCAAACAATAAAACATAACCATAGGCTACTCTCTATAAACAGCGGCTTGGAGGACCAACGCCATCCTTTACCAAGGATCAACAGATCTGCGGAGCTTTCTTTTAATTCATATGTTTCTTACATGGAGGCAAAGCCTTTTATTTTTGCAGAAAAACATTTTCTCCCGTGTTGTGCCCTTGTATATGACGGACCGATAGACGCCGGATCACCAAATCAGTCGAATTCGACTCCCAAAGAACAAATTATGTCAAAATAATAACAGGGACCGGAATGAACTGAACTACAAAATCTCTGTACGAGGGCAATGACTTTCGAGTAAAATATGTAATAATAATTGCAGCTGTTTTGAACTTCATACCTTTATTTCTTGATATTTCGACCTTTAACCGGTCAAAACATAAACAGAATGAACTACGCTGATAAAAAAAAGTATAAACAGACGAAATTTGAGCGTTATAGAAAAAAATTTCCGAAAAGATGCATGTTTGTGTAAGAAACGCCGAGAATGGACCTCATAAATGCTGAAATCTGCTTGCGGAATGCAAGACAGTTAGTTGTTCTACCTTTCTGGACGACAGAGTTTCTTTTCGATTCCTGGTCATGTTCGGGTCAAGCTCTAAACTTTCGATCGGATTGATTTAAGTCTCGTTCCTCGATCTAATTTACGCTCTAGTCCTTATGTCTCTCTTAATGCTGATTTAGATAGCAATATTAAATTATTCCCAAAGGATTTCAACATCGATGAAATGAATATTGAAACATCTATTATTCTCTGGTCTGCTAGTCCGGATTTTGACAGCTATGAGTCTACAAAAAAGCAGCTCGTAGCACTGATGAACCACATGGAGAAACTTCACACCGGTTTCGAAGTTTGTGCTATTTTTTTACAAGAAAATAAACTGATCTTGATTGTGAATGATAAACTACATATAAATATTGGATCAATTATTTATGATTTTTCTGAAATACATTCAGTTTACATTTTCTGTTTGACCAAAGACATAATTACAGAACTTAAACATCAAAAAATTAAAGGTACATTCAATAACAAACATTATTTGATAGCTGATTTGTTGGCCGACTTCTCATATCCAATGAGTATTTTTAATCAAGAAAAAGAAAGATCAATTCAAGCGTTAGCTAAAGAATCACTTAAATTTATATGGTTTCAATGTTTAATCGATCTTATAATTCATTTACCATGGTGCAAGAAATCAAAGTCAGATATGGTAAATGAATGTCGTCAGCACTATGAAACTGATGAGATTGAAATGAGAAAGATCAGCGAATTTGACACACAATATGGGGTTGACGATGAGAAAAACCGAAATGCAATTCGATGGTATACACGAGATTGCTTTTTATTTCGTTTGTTAAACAGAGCTTTTCGCACGGAGAATATTGATGAAATATATAAATTTCGTTATTTTATACCTGGTTTACACAGTCAACTAAAAGAACTCCATCGAAATTATATTTCTTCATTATTCAACGATGAAAAATATCTAACAGTTTATCGAGGTCAATTTTTATTCAAGGGCGAACTTTTAAAGTTAAAAAAGAATATTGGACAACTAATTTCATTTAACACATTTTTGTCAAGTACATTAAATAGGCAGGTTGCACTTTTGTATACCGGTGGCGATGCGAAACAACCAAGAAAAGAATCCGTATTATTTGAAATGAAAATACATCAACGTAAATGTCACAAGCCATTTTCAGACATTAGTAATCACGGTTATTATGAAGACGAAAAAGAGGTATTAATATCAACGGGTGCCGTATTTCGGATTATATCGGTTGAACGCCTGAAAGAAAATGCCGATGGTACAATTTGGAATGTAAGTTTACTCATGGATGAAGGAAGTGAGGAACAAATGAAAGAATTAATGAACCATTTTACAAATGAATCTATAACAGATCCGTTAGAAAAACTAAAAATATTTATCCAACAGTTAAGCAATAACGAGATAACAGAACAATGGCAAAATATATTGTACGAGTCCGCCACACGTACTACTGAAATGCACACGTACAGTGATGAAAGTTCAGCTATGAGAGGTCCTCTTTTCAGAAGCAGGCGCAGCATGAGCAGATCATTTGACGCATCTCTAATCGATCGGTCGGCTATAAGTATAGCTTTAGGTTCACAACAGAGTAAAGCGTTTGATGCATCTTTAATCGATCGGTCGGCTGCAAGTATAGATTCACGTTCACAACAGAGTAAAGCGTTTGATGCATCTTTAATCGATGCGTCAGTAAGTATAGTGTATGATCCACAACAGAGCAGTTCTGCACAACAGCTACTACATGAGCAAAGTCCAGAAGACAATGCGCATTAAAGAGAATTATTTGATGTTAAAATACAGTGTTTATGTTTTTTGTTTAGATTCGAGACCGTTTGTTATTTTGGGTATTTCTATTATGCTCCAGAGGCTTTTCCGATGCATTTTACGAACACATTTAAATAAACTAGCTAATTGTATAATGTTGAATCTGTCTTCTTTTCTTTGTGTTGTTGAGTCAAGGTATGCAACCGAAAATGTAAAGAACTGTTTTATGCAGCTTGTATTTAAATGTTTATCATGCTGTCACCAACAGCCTGATAAAAAAGATTCGACAAAAACAAAAGATCTTGATGAGATTTCGCTCGTATTTGTCTAAAATCTTAGAACTTACTAAGATGATAAAAAATTCTAAGATCTTAATAAGAACGACATTTCTCGAATTTCATTATATTTGATTTCGAACTTATAAATATGATTTTCTAATTTTGTTAATGTTTGGCTGCATTGAACCACTAAACTGTTCTGCAATCACTTTGAAAGCGCGTTTTTTCACGAAGTGCTCTAGTTTACAGCAGATCAAAAGTGATTTATTTTCTTTATACCTGAAAGGGCTATGTTTAGCCATGCGCTTTATAGCAAAACAGTTTTCATAAAAAACACTTTTTGTAGCACTTTATCTTTTACAGTGTACTGTCTAAGTTTTTTTCAAGATTGGATAAGAATCTGTTAGGATCTTAATAGTAAGAGCGATGACGTTTTTTAACTAGTCTTGAAGTTCTCTGAGAATTTTTGAATTCTTATTCCGCATTATCCAAAGCAGAAGTTGAACAGCGTTGAAGAATGAAGAGAAATTCATACTTTCGTATGTCTAACCTTGAGCTGCTTGTACACTCTCTAAAAAGTTGTTGAATACTTTCGAAAGAGCAAGTATTAGCAAAGTCTAGGAGAAAAATAACCGTAAAATCACGCATATTTTCGATGTTACTTATATAGATGAATGAGAGCAAAACAAAGGGGTAGAGATGTGCAGGACACCCTTATCCAACTGTAGGGTAGGGCTAGGGCTTCGTCTAAAAAAGATATATCGTCCGTACAACATTGAGGTCGGTCGCTAGCGACAGTTATTTTAAACTCTTTATTTTATCGGATGCAAGACACCCATTTTTGGTGTAACTGGCAATATAAAAAAAACAAATATACTTTTTATGGCAGGGATCTTTTGTTTGACATCAATATAAAGCTTGATTTTCGACATCATTGCTAGGTGTGCCTGCTAGCTCGGCGACTTCAGAAAGAATATTTAGTGCCACTGGGCAGGTTTTAGAACAGCGTCGACAAAGGCAGGACGAAGAAACGGTCGATGACATTATGTTGCTACGAAATTTTAAAAGAGAATTTTTATCAATATAATTCATTTATTTAAAAAAATAAAGAAATAATTGTAAATGAAAAGTTCTCAAATTTTCAAAGGGTAGGGTAGGGCGAGGGCTTCATTGCTACAGAGCAGGGTAGGATCAGGGCTCAAAAACCTTTCATAGAGTAGGGCAAGAGCTCCGTACACAGTTACCCTACACATCTCTACAAAGGAGTGGATGAAAGTAGAGTCATTAAATCTTATTAAGATCTTAAACGCTAAGATCTTAGATTATCTTATCAAAATCTTAAAGAAATAAGATTCTAGTAAGATAATTTTAAGAAGTGTCTAAAATTTTTATGAAAGGAGACAGAAAAGAAACTTTTAAATCCCACCAGCCGGACCGAACACACCACTGGTGTGTTCGATATTCACATGCAATGTCTCTTAATTATTAATTGATGACAACCGTTTACGCACATGTGTGTGTGTGTGATCATAGAGAAGAAGAAGAGAGTTATCATTATCCAGAGGATGAAAACAAATTCAAGCAACAATAATAACGGCAAAAGTAAAAATCATTTTCAACAGCGCAACGATAATGCACCACTGGTATTACAGCAACTAACAGTCATCGACGGTAATATTAAATAATGAAAGCATCCAATGGGATGCAAATAGAAACCCATTTGGATTTCTTTAAGAAGAAACCGAACACTCGGGGAGTATGGATCCAGCGATTTTAAAGATTCTCGCGAGCCATTCCTTAACCGTTTTTACCTTCTTCATTTTCAATATTTTACCTTCTTCATTTTGCATATTATATGTCGATGTTGGTTTTAAAAAACTTAAATTCTTTTTAAATACACGGCTAACCTCGAAAGTCGATAGAAAACGAAAAATAGCCTACTTCGATTTTC